GTGGCGGCAGCGGCGGGGGAGGTGGCCGGGGCGGAGGAGGTGGTGGGGGTGGCGGTGGACGAGGCAGCGGCCGGGGTTGGGGTGGTCGAGGAGGTGGTAGCGGCGGTGGTGGTCGTGGAGGCACTGGCGGTGGCCTGGGCCAGCAGCACACTCCGTCGCCCCAGGAGGTCCGTGAGTGGTACTCTCAGCACGGGGGGGGGGGGGGGGGGGGGTGGCCTTAGCTGCACGTACGTCATTCGCACTGGTGACCGCACTGGCCAGCCGTGTGGGGGACCGCACGCCACACAGCGTTGGTTCGCTCGTCTGAACGACGCTTGGCGTGTTCAGTTCCCTCAGGCCACTGAGCTGCCCCGCTGGGTTGATCTCCTGAAGAAGGGGATTGATATTTATGCTCTAGACTTTGATGATATTCTCACTGCCATGTATGTGATGTCTACTAGTGGAGAGGGTGCTGAGTACCTGAGTGTCCCGCCCGACCCGGGCATTAGGACTAGTGCGTCTGCCGCTCCAGGTACTCGCGTGTCCGCTACCCCAGGTGCTGGTGAGGCTGCTGCTCTAGGTGCGTGTACGTCTGCCCCCCCTAGTACTGTGTCGACTGCAGCACTGCACACCTTCACACTGGATTCAGGTGCCTCTCGCTGTTTCTTTCGTGACCGCACTGCCCTTGAGCCCCTTGCTCGGCCAGTTGCTGTCTCCCTCGCTGACCCCTCTGGGGGTCCGGTCATTGCGACCTCCTCCACTGTCCTTCTCTGTCCTGCGGTCCCGTCAGGCACACTGTCAGGTCTCCACCTCCCCTCGTTCTCTACGAACTTGGTGGTAGGTTGTGCACTACAGGACGCGGGTGTTCACCAGTTCACCCCTGCCTACGAGCGTGTCACACACTGCACGTGTGCCCGTACAGGCCGCCACTTGGCTACCTTCACCCGGCAGCCGAGGTCGGACCTGTACACACTGACTACTGCCCCCCCTCAGGTCGGTGCGCCTGCGTCTGCGTCCGCGTGAGGTCAGCTGTCCGCCCCCTGCTCGTGTCGCTCTCTGGCGCACGAGACTGTCCTCTGGCACCACCGACTGGGCCACCCGTCTGTGCAGCGCCTTCGTGCCATGCACTCCCGGTACCTTGTCTCTGGTCTTCCCAGGGTCCTCCCTCCCCTCCCACCCTCGCCTGCTCCTCCCTGTCTTCCCTGTGTCGAGGGGCGGCAGCGCGCCGCTCCTCACTCCTCCTCGTTTCCCCCGACGACTGCCCCTTTGCAGACGCTCCACATGGACGTGTGGGGTCCAGCCCGCGTCCGTGGTCAGGGTCAGGAGAGGTACTTCCTGATAGTTGTTGACGACTACTCGCGCTACACTACGGTCTTCCCCTTGCGCACCAAGGGTGAGGTCCCTGATGTTTTGATCCCTTGGATCCGCAGAGCTCGTCTCCAGCTCAGCGAGCGTTTCCGCTCGGACTTTCCTGTCCTGCGCTTGCACTCTGACAGAGGTGGTGAGTTCTCCTCCGACCTCTTGGCAGCCTACTGTGCTGAGCACGGCATTGAGTAGTCGTTCACGCTTCCGGCCTCTCCACAGCAGAATGGGGTTGCGGAGCGCCGCATTGGCCTGGTCATGGAGGTCGCTCGTACCTCCTTGATCCATGCGGCTGCCCCCCACTTTCTGTGGCCGTTTGCGGTCCGGTACGCTGCGCATCAGCTCAACCTCTGGCCCCGTGTCTCCTTGCCGGAGACCTCGCCCACACTGCTGTGGACGGGGGAGGTTGGCGATGCGTCGCGTTTCCGGGTCTGGGGATCTCGAGCTTTTGTCCGCGATTCGTCTGCGGACAAGCTCTCCTCTCGTGCTGTTCCCTGCGTCTTCCTCGGCTTTGTTCCGGACGTGCCTGGTTGGCAGTTTTACCACGCCACCTCGCGCTGGGTCTTGCCCTCTCAGGACATCACTTTTGACGAGTCTGTCCCCTACTACCGCCTCTTCCCCAACCGCACTGCCCCGCTCCCACCCCCGCCTCTCTTCCTCGCGCCAGGTGCTGCTGTCGTAGACCCCCTTCCCGCTCAGGGTGCCGCTCCCTCAGGTGTGTCTCAGGTAGACCCGGTCGAGCCTATTGAGGTTGCTGTCGACTCTCGTCCTGCTGGGGGTGCTGAGCCTGGGGGTGCGGACTCTGGGGGTGCTGAGCCTGGGGGTGCGGACTCTGGGGGTGCTGAGCCTGGGGGTGCGGACTCTGAGGGTGCTGAGCCTGGGGGTGCGGACACTGGGGGTACTGAGCCTGGGGGTGCTGAGCCTGGGGGTGCGGTGACTGGGGGTGCTGAGCCTGGGGGTGCGGTGACTGGCGGTGCTGGTCCTGAGGGTACTACACCTGGACGAGACCTCTCCTCGGAGCAGTTGCGTGAGTGGTACTTACAGTACTGCAGCCTCCGGAGAGGTACCTCTTGGACCAGGCGCACTACAGGGACTGGTGCTGGTACTTCTCCTCCTAGTCGGAACCTCCCCTCTCGTGAGCGGATCCGTGAGTGGTACGAGCGCCGTTGCACACTTCGGAGTGGTGCGCCTCGTCTCACGGACCCGGCTGCTGCTGGTGCTATGGACCCGGGCGTTGGAGCTGCGGCAGGTGCTGTGGACCCTGGTGTTGGATCTGCTGCTGGTGCTGTGGACCCGGGAGTTGGAGGTGCTACTGGTGCTGAGGAACCGGGCGTTGGAGCTGCGGCTGGTGCTGTGGACCCTGGTGTTGGAGCTGCTGCTGGTGCTGTGGACCCGGGAGTTGGAGGTGCTACTGGTGCTGAGGACTCGGGCGTTGGTGCTGAGGCTAGTACAGAGGACCTTGGCGTTGGAGCTGCTGTTGGTTCTGGTACTGCCGCTGGGGTACTGGTGCTACCCCTGCTGTGTCTGGAGTCGCCGCGCGCCCTCAGCCGTACTTCGTTCCGCTCCTTCAGCAGGTTCTTGGTCTCTCGCCTCCTCCTGGTCCTCCTCCCTTAGCGTGTTCACGGCCTGTCCCGTCACAGTTACAGTTGCAGCCGGCCTCCCCACTACCTGCTCCTTCTCCTTACACTGGTCCTACTGGCGGTCTTACTGAGCGTCGTGAGTCTGCGTCTCGTCCTGCGTCGCGTGTCCGTCCAGCTAGCGCTAGTGCTCGTACTTCGTGTCAGCGTCCTCCTCCTGCCCCTAGCACGAACCAGATGTCTCTACGCCCGTCTACTGCTCCTCTGCGTGCCCCTTTGACTTCTCCTGCGTCCTCTCTTCCTGCTCTTGCCGACCCTGCGTCGGACTCTCTTCGTGCTGCCAGTCCTACTGTCACACATCTCCTTGCTACTGCCGTCACTGACCCTTCTTTCGAGTCTTCTGCTGCGTCTGCCCTAGTTGCTGAGCTTGTCGACTTTGCTGCTCACTGTCGCCTAGACTACGCTGCGAGTCTTGTCGCTGAGTCTGAGTCTGTCTGTCCTCCGTCCGTCGGGGGTGAGTGTGCCCTTGGCACGGACGTCCTTGAGGACAGGCAGGAGGAGTTCCAGTGCTTGGCCGCTGCTTCACCTCATCTCGTGTCCGTACTGCTTACCCCTGAGGGAGACCCGGATGCACTTGACATCCCGACTCTGCGCTCTTACGCGGAGGCGATAGAGGGTCCCTACTCCTCTCAGTGGCAGGCAGCTATGGATGCAGAGATGGCTTCCTGGAAGTCCACAGGCACCTACGTTGACGCTGTCCCCCCTCCTGGGGCGAACATCGTCAGTGGCATGTGGATCTTCAGGGTGAAGCGGCCGCCGGGTTCTCCGCCTGTCTTCAAGGCGCGTTACATGGCTCGTGGCTTCAGTCAGCGGCACGGAGTTGACTACTTTCAGACCTTCTCCCCCACCCCGAAGATGACCACTCTTCGGGTACTGCTGCACGTTGCTGCTCACCGGGACTACGAGCTGCACTCTCTCGACTTCAGCACAGCTTTCTTGCAGGGCAGCCTGCACGAGGAGATCTGGCTGCGCCGCCCACCTGGCTTCACTGGGTCTTTCCCTCCTGGTACCCAGTGGAGTCTCCAGCGTCCAGTCTACGGTCTCCGCGAGGCACCACGTGAGTGGCACGACACACTGAGGAATACGCTTGCGGCTCTTGGGTTCGCTCCTTCTACTGCCGACCCGTCGCTGTTTCTGCGCACCGACACCTCTCTGCCGCCGTTCTACATCCTCGTGTACGTCGACGACTTGGTCTTTGCCACAGCTGACACTACTCGACTCGCCTACGTGAAGTCGGAGCTGCAGAAGAGACACACGTGCACTGACCTGGGTGAACTGCGCAGCTACCTTGGCTTGCAGATCACCCGGGACAGAGCACGCCGCACCATTACCCTGACTCAGTCACACATGGTGCAGCAGGTCCTTCAGCGCTTCGGCTTCACGTACTCCTTGCCTCAGGCGGGGACGGCGCGCGGGCCCCCAGGGCGCCGCGACGAGGCGACGAGAGGGGGTGGCGCATGGGCCCCCAAGGCGCCGCGACGAGGGGACAGGAGGGGACGGCGCGCAGGCCCCCAGGGCGCCGCGACGAGGCGACGGGAGGGGAGTGACTGTGGTTTTGTCGCGAAAGAAACAGCGGGAAGCACCAGAGTCAAGTGTAAAGGTGTGCAAGGCCTGTGCGGACGCAATACCAGGCAGAGCAGACTCACGAGCACCTAGAGCTGCAGGCGCTATACCTGGGGCTATATCGGGGTCAGGCGACACACACAAGTAGCAGTCACCCTCAGCACTAACAGTCAATGCATACATGGCAGCAAGAATAGCATCATAGTCAAGATCAAAGATAGGTACATCACGCCTAAGCAGGTCTGCCCATTTGGGGAACTCATTAGCATCAGGAAACTTGACGCGCCAGGCGTCGCTAAGCCGAGCAAAGCAGCGATACTCAATGTGAAAGCTGGTGCACTGGCGACCAGCGTGGGGACCTGCGCGAATGATATAGAGGCAGCGACCAGGACCCCCAGACGCCCCACGCCCGGCATACCAGTCAAGAAGTTGCTGGGAAGTGGGGGTCTGGCGCTGACTCTACTGCGGCTGCTGCTGCTGCTGCCCCTGGCCACCACTGGTCTCACCCAAGCCCCCACCACCGCCGCCACCACCACTCCCCCCTCCGCCACCACAGCTGCCGCCACCGCCACTGCTCCCGGCACCACCACCGCCCCCACCACCACCTCCACCCCCACGACCACCCCCACCACCTCCACCTCCCCCGCCGCCTCCACCACCGTCCCCTCCACCGCCACGTCCGCCACCCCTGCCTCCCCTGGAGCCGCTGCGCTTCCCACTAGGAGCGGAAGCAGCTGCAACCTTCTCAGCACCAAGGAGGTCGACAGTAGCAGCTGCGGAGGCGTACGAGAGGGTAAGAGGGGAGGGGGAGCACCCCTCAAAGAGGGTAGTGCGAGGAGTACCACGAGCAGCACCTACAACAAGGATGTTCTTCTCTGCTGCTAGGAGGTGCTTCTCGAAGACAGTGACAGTGAGAGTGGTAGGGTATAAGGCTAGGAAGTGGTCCATGACAGAGCTAGGAGTGTCAGGGAGGCGGGTGACGAGGAAATAGAGAGTAAAGTACATCGGAGGGGGGGGGGAGGGGGGGTTCTTGGCGCAGAACTCGGCTGGAAGGGCGGAACGAAAGCGGGTGTCACTAGTGCGAAGGTGAGAAATGAGGTCCTCAGCAGTGGTAAACGAGGACAGGTCTGGGAATAGGTAGGGTAGCATGAGCCGACCTAAGGCTGCAGTGGCTGGGGAGGAGTAGCGCGCAACTACAACGTCTTACAGTGCCTCAGTGATCGGCAGATGATTTCGAATAGCTAGGCGTGCAGCAGCATCGCGAGTCTGCCACTGTGAGCGTTCGAGAGCGGTAGCACCGTCAGCAGGAGCAACGGTAGTGCCAGATGTGTAATCGAACAGTGAAACGCCGTCTTTGGCATCAGTCAGAAGAAACAGTTGGAGATCATCGAGCCACGTGGTGAACTCTATCGGGCGACCGTCAGGCTCAAACGCGAGAACATTAAGTGTCGCCATAATCGCAGTGCAGGCAAAGGCAGTAGGCTAAGGCAGCAGGCAGCAGGCAAAGGGCGCAAGCAGCAAGTCCTAGGCATAGTTACAGTCGCAGTCGTGGGGTAGCGGTGGGTGGGCCCGAAAAAAAAAAAGACGGTCCTATGGGACCTATTGCTCTGAATACCATGTCAAGAACAGTAGCAGAAAGTTAGAACAGAAAAGAGGGTTTGCACTAGCAGGCAGTTGAGTACATATAGGAAACCCTAATCTGGGTTGTACTCGCTATAGAGTACCCCACTGCAGGCTAGAAAAATATAACATTCTAACAGCGCGGGCCCCAGGGACGCCACGACGGGCGACGAGAGGGGGTGACGCGCGGGCCCCCATGGCGCCACGACGGGCGACGGGAGGGCGACGCGCGGGCCCCCAGGGCGCCACGAAGGGCGACGGGAGGGGACAGCGCGCGGGCCCCCGGGGCACCACGACGGGCGACGAAACCGCCGCGCATTCCCGGGGCGCGCGGCGGGCACGAAACTGCCACGCGCCCCGAGCGCAGGACGGGCAGAAAACCGCCACGCGCTCGAGGCGCGTGGCGGGAAAAAAATTTGAAGATCGCACGCCATGGGGCGTGGGACAGACAGTATGGCAGCCGAAGCAGGCGGGCCCACAGGCCAGGAGCGTAACCGTTCTGATACCATGTCAAAATAGTGAGCTGAAAGTTAGAATAGGAAAGAAGATTTGCACTAGCAGCAGTTGAGATACATATAGGAAACCCTAATTGTGTTGTACTCGCTATAGAGTACCTCACTGCAGGTGTGTGAGAATGACGGCTTACGCCAGCTGTGCTTGCTTGCCTTTACTTTATTATGCTATTTCTAGCATAGGATAATTATATGCATGCATGAATTGCTTGATTTCCTAGGCTAGGTGCTTTCCTATATTTTATTATAGTTATAGCACGAGCTAGGTTGCGTGCACCGAATTCTGACTTTTCAGTTGCCACCGAATTGCCTTCTACCGAATTTCGGAAGGATCTGTTCGGGACGCTTCGCGACCCGCAGAACCTTCGCGTAACACCTGGTTACAGGGCCTTGTGTCGAGCCTATATATAGCCTCGTGTTGTACCCAGGTGATCATTCAATTCAAACTCTCTTTTCTGAGCTCGACCCTAGATCCTCACACTTGGTAATCAGAGCCTGTTCGAAGCAAAGTTTTTCTTGCGCTAAAACCTAGCTTTTAAAACCGCGGGGGCGACGACGGAAAGCGCCGATTTCGGGTACGTAAACCAGTTCCGCGCCATTTTCTAACGTCCCCCTCGAACCGGTTTTAGAACACTCCTCAGGTCCAGTGGCAAAAAAGTTGGAATTTCGACCGTTGGATCGATTTGAATCTCAACGGCCCTGGGAATTTCGACCAAAACGGTTGGAATTTGGAGCGTCGGATCGAATTTCTTCTCAACTGCCGAGATCGGACGCGAATTTCAACAAAGGGAGAATTACGTGACTTACAGATTCAGCGCTCGTCATTTCTACAGTCGATTCGACTCACAGTAAGATGACCAGCGCCTAAAATTCAATTATTTTCGTCGCACATTTTCCTGTAAATCGCCAAATGGAGGAAAACGGTGATAATTCCGTACGAAAAATTACGGAGTTACACACCTGCCTGGACCAGACGCGAGCGGCACTCCAGCGAATAGAGGAGCTTCTCGCGAACCAGTTGGTAGCCGCCACAGCAGCAGCGAACGTAGCAGCGAATGCAGCAGCGACGCCAGCAGCAGCAGCAGCAGCAGCGACACCGACACTTCACCCAGCAGCAGCGGCAGCAGCTACAGTGGATATCGACAAGATCGACGCGAAGCAGCAGCCGACAAAATATGAGAAGTGCGAATTTTGCGGCGCAGCAGGACATCGACTCTTGGCGTGTTGGAAAATGAAGAAGGCACGAGCGGAGTTGCAGGGCAACAACAGTGCGACATCCACGATGGCGAAAAAAGGAGGACATGACGGCGCGAATTTAAAACGCCACGACCAGCTGTCAACAGGGGAAATCGCCGAGACAAATGGCGGCTCCGCGAAACAAGACTCTACACCGACCGGGAAACTCCAGCCGAACACCCCCGAGAGTAAGAATATTCCCTCTCGGAGTTTTCAAGCCTTTAAAAATTTGAGGGGAGATTTCAAGGCCAATAAAAAGCCTTCAGACATTATTCAGGTACCTAAGAAGTTGGGCAATCCACTCCGGAGCGTTGAAAAGGGTCGTGCGTTCCAAGGAGTTCATATTCTCTCCCCGCAGCATAGTGTTAAGGCTCCCCATTGCCCACACGAGAAGCCTACACAGCTGCAAAGGCTTAAGGGAAGGTTCCAGGCCAAGACGAAGCTGAATCGACCTCGGATAAATCCTTTTAACCCTGCTCAGCTGGAAACTGGAATGGAATCAGCAGCTTCGAGCGCAGGACCGAGGGATGATCTATTCGACGTACCCTACAATCCTATAAGCGAGACCATCTATGGTTACTCGGAGCGGCAACAACCACTATTACTCGAGGTGATATGGAACAGGCGACGCCTCAAGGCATTGGTGGACAGCGGTGCGTCTCACTCGGTGTGCGACCGCGGGACGTTGGAGAAAATTGGAGAATTTTCCGAAGAGACCAAGTTCTCGGCAACAATGGTGGACGGTACGAAACTTCCCATCCACGGCGAAGCATCACTGCAGCTGCACATAGGGGCGCTAACGTGGAAGCCGACGTTGCCGATCACGAACATCAAGGGATCAGATTTCATCTTGGGGCGAGATTTCTTGAAGCGGTTCAACCCCGAGATCGACTGGGTCAACAGGAAGGCGTGCATCTACAACAACGGGAAACGAGTGGAGCTGCGAAGTTGGACAGATACAGGGAGCGTTCCTGAAACGACACTGGCACGGTTCGAACGGACAGTGAACGCAAGCAACAAGCAACACGGGTTACTTAGCACTGATTATGGCAGCAGCAGAGGAGGAGAAGCCGAGTTCGGAGCTACCTGCAGCAGTGAAGGAGGTCTTGGAGCAGTACAAGGATATAATGCCCGACGACCTACCCGCAGGCGTACCTCCAGCACGCACCCACGAGCACGAGATCGTGGAGGAACCAGGTGTGAAACCCGTCTCACGTGCACCATACCGACTAAGTCCGACCGAACTGACAGACATGAAGAAACAGATAGAATATCTACTGGATAGACAACTGATCCGCCCATCCACCTCTCCCTACGGTGCGCCAGTCCTCTTCACTCCAAAACCAGACGGCAGTCTAAGGATGTGCATCGACTACCACGCACTGAACAAACAGACACTAAAAAACAAATATCACATACCGCGCATAGACGACCTACTGGATCAACTGCGTGGAGCAACAGTATTTTCGAAGCTGGACCTACGATCGGGTTACTGACAGATCAAGATGGCAGACAACTCGGTCCACAAGACGGCATTCCGTACCAGATACGGCTCCTACGAATACTTGGTGATGCCGTTCGGACTCTGCAACGCACCAGCAACGTTTCAGGAGGAGATGAATCACATCTTACGACCCCTGTTGGACGAGTGCGTAGTGGTGTACCTGGACGATATCCTCATCTACTCCAAGAATATAAAGGAGTACGTGGAGCATTTGCGGAAGGTGTTCGAGATCTTGCGGAACAACAAGTTCTACGTGAAGCTGTCGAAGAGCGACTTCGCCCTGAAGAAGGTGCAGTTTCTCAGACACATGGTGAGTGCCGAGGGCGTACACGTGGACCCGCGGAAGATCGAAGCCGTCAAGAAATGGAAAGTACCGGAGAACGTGAAAGAGTTGCAGCAGTTCCTAGGCTTCGCCAACTACTACAACAGGTTCGTGCCGCAGTACGCTAAGATAGCAGCGCCACTGACCAACCTACTGAAAAAGGATACGCCCTACAAATGGGATACGCCACATCAGCAAGCCATGTAGCAGCTACAGACAGCATTGACTATAGCGCCAGTACTCATCCTACCAGATCCAGACAAGGACTACGTGGTGGAAGCAGACGCTAGTGACCAAGCAGTCGGAGCAGTACTGATGCAGGACCACGGACGCGGTTTGCAGCCCATCGCCTACCTCAGTAAGAAGCTACACGGAGCAGAACCAAACTACCCCATCCATGACAAGGAAGCCTTAGCGATAGTCATAGCCTTCAAGGCGTGGAGGTGTTACCTAGAGGGAGGCAAGACTACAGTCTATACTGACCACTACAGCCTCAAATATCTGAAGTCGCATCCGACGCTCTCACGACGACAGGTGCGGTGGGTGGACTTCCTGGAAACTCACTTCCACTATGACATCGTCTACAAGCCCGGGCCACACAACAAGGCAGACGCGTTGAGCCGACCCGGACATGTAGCAGGCATCCAGCTCGACGGGATGAACCCTCTGCTCAAGGGTCTATTCCAACATGGGTACTCCGTGGACGCAGAAATCGCTACAGCACAGACCAAGAAGTTGTTACAGTGGGAGAAAGACTTAGCTGTAAGGAAGGGTTCAGGAAAGATTTGGGTACCGAGCTACGGCAGATCCTATTGGAGGAGTTTCACGACGTACCTTACGCGGGACATTTCGGGAGCAACAAGACGTTAGCAGGGATAGCGAAGTATTACTACTGGCCCGGGATGGCAGCAGACGTGCAGCAGTTCGTCACCCCATGCGATACGTGCCAGCGGAT